TCTGGAAACAGGCAGATAAAGAGCTTCCTTCAAACATCATCATCTCTGCCTTTGCCTGTTCATGTGAATCCAAGATAAAAGAAAAAAAGAAAATCCCATTTCTGTAGACTATAGAACCTTAATTCAATATAAATGGATATTTCTGCTACAGTTATTTTCTATCCAGGACTTTTGAAGGATTCACCCTCAGAAGACTCTACTCCTTCTTAGTGCCCAACTATATATATATCACTTTTATTTTGACTCATAAATGAATATTTCATTTAGGCAGGCTGATTGGAAAGGGTCACACACTCTCTTGGTTGCCCTACTAAAAAAGAGATTCTTTATGCTTACTTGAGGTTAAAAATAGCTTGATCTTTCAGCAAAAGCTTGATACCATACATCTGACACAAAGAGTACCAGATTAGGCCCCCAGAACTAGGCCCTCTCACTCTCCCCAGCCTCTTATTTTTCTTTTAGACTGTCTGCTCAACCTCAGAAATTCTTGATACAAAACAAATAACTTTATTTTGTTCTTATTTTTTAAACATCAGTAAATATGTGGGATTTTCACTGTAGGAATAATGCCAACTAGGGTATATGTATCAATTCACAGTTTATAAAGCATTTGTATAAATATCACATACCCATCCTTACAATACACAGAAGTCATTATTCCCTTTGTATAAATGTTGATACTCAGAATCAGAAAGGCTGAGTAACTTGCTCAAAGTTTCACAGCTGGTTAGTGGCAGATCTGGGACTCCCTGAACAGCTAGCTTGTTCAGTGTCTTTTCCATATTCCATGATGATTTCTGCTTCAATAGGAAATCCTACCAGGATAATTTATTTAATAATGAAGCAACAAAACCCTATTAATTCATTCATTCAACAAATGTTTCCTGAGCCTTTATTATATACTGTTTTCTAGGTACTGAGGATAGAGCAGAGAAAAAATATACAAAAATCTTATATTCCAGTTATGGATCCAGGTAGTTATTTATATCTATGCACACACACACACACACACACACACACACACACGTGCATATGTATATACAGCTGGGCCCCCTGCATCCATGGATTTCACATCTGTGGATTCAACTGCAGATTGAAAATATTTAGAAAAAAATAACTGTGTCTGTACTGGACATGTATGGACTCTTTTCTTGTCACAGTTGCCTCAACAATACAGTATAACAACTATTTACATAGCATTTACATTGTATTAGGCATTGTAAATAATCTAGAGATGACTTAAAGTATTCAGGAGGATGTGTTTAGGTTATATGCAAATACTATGCCATTTTATATCAGGATGTGAGTATTTGTGGACTTTATTTATTTAATTTTTATTTTTTTAATTTTTTTTCTATTTTTTTTAGTGGAGACAGGGTCTAGCTCTTGCTCAGACTGGTCTTAAACTCCTGAGCTCAATCAATCCTCCCACCTCAGCCTCCCAGAGTGCTAGGATTACAGGTATGAGCCACTGTGCCAGCCTGAATTTGTGGACTTTAGTGCCCACGGGAGGTCCTAGAACCAATAATATATCTTGATATATATTATTTATGTGTGTGGGTACATGCATACATAATGGTAGATAGTGATAAATATTAAGGATAAAAATCAAGCATGAATAAAAGGGGAAACAATTCTTATTCATGTACATGTGAAGAGTGCAAGATTTACTCATGGCTGCTTTGTTTTTATGGTTTAACAGTAAAACCACTACAAACAACCCCAATGTTCATTTTCATGAAAATTGATAAATACTCTGTGGTATATCACAGAATGGAATATTATACAACAGCAAAAATGAGTGACCTATGTCTATAAGCTATAATAAGGCTTAATGATAAAAATATAACCTTAAGTGAGGAAAAACAGAAAGTCTCAAAAGACTACATACAATATGATGTCATTTTCATAAAACCAAATCAAGTAAAACTAAACAACATACTGTTCAAGGATACATAAATATGTGGTAAAACTTAATAGTTGAACATGCAAACTCCAGTAGAAAAGCAGAAGGATGGATCAGAGAAAAACACACAGGGCTGTTTCAATGATGTTGAGAATATTATAGTACCTAGGATAGGTAGTTGGTGTTCATTTTTTTATTATGCTTCAAAACTTACATTATATGTTATATATATTATTGTGTATTTATCAGATATTATATAATAATAAATAATACTAAACTGGTGCAGGAAGAATAATGAGAATTATGTCATCTTTGATAGTTTCAGATTGTTTATATCACAAAGTTGCATTTCATATTTGAACAGCAGGGGTCCAAGAATATTTGTACAGTATGCTAAAGTTTCCAAAGGTCTTTCTCATTTTGTCTTTTCTAAATCTTGCATGGTGGTTACTAGGATCCCTCTCTTATAAATGAGGAAACCAAGGAAGAGCTTAAGTGGTTCATTTAATCTCACACAGCTTGCCAATGGGACAGAAGTCTTTAATTGTATAAAATTATTCCTCCTATACCATTTGGAAGCACAGAGCTTTCTTGTTGAACAAAAGACCAAATGAATCCTAGAATATCAGAGCTGGAGGGAGCTTAAAGATCAAAATGTTCAATTCCTTCATTTTCTCAGTTGGAGAAATGAAGACCTATATACATTAGAGATTTTCTCAGCATGGCACAGCTAGTTTTGATGAAGAAAGGATAGTTGAGTCATGCTTTGACTCACATCTTCTGACTACAAGTTAAGACACTCTTAACTCTGTGAGACCATCTTCTAAGTAGATAGATACTATTATTTTCCAACCACTTGGCTGTAGAAGAACCCAAAACTTGAATACATACAAGTATCCATTGCTCAGGTGAATGTTCAAGAATATGATATATAATAGAAAATCTCTAATAGGGAGCCTTATATATAACAAAATCAATTGGTATATTAAATATGGCAACATTTTAACTTATGGACACCAGTTTGATATTTGAAAGAAATACTCATAAAACAAGATAAAGAAGAACAAAATGACTGCTTTCTAAAGAGAGATAAAGGGCCTTATCATCTGAAGAGGTCCCCAGCCTGAGACATCCAATGAATTGTGACCCTGATTCCTCAACCAGCACAGGATTCATTTAAAAATATAAAAATGGGGCATTATATTCACTAATGTGAATTTAAGAACTTCAATAGTTTTTCCTCAAGCTCCTTATAATCTACTAAAAATTTAAAAATAAATAAACCCTACAGTAAAAAGAGTGAATTACTATAGGAAATAGAATGAGGGAACGGAAAGCTTACTAGACTTTTCTGAAGCCAAAAGACCTGGGTTTAAGTGCCAGCTCTGCCATTCACTTGCTTTCTGAGGTTAGACAAGTTTCTCTTTGATCCTTGGTTGACCAATATGTAAAGTGGTGACAATAATAACTACTTTACAGAATTAAGAAATATAATGTATGGGGAAGGTATTGGTAAGCTCCAATAAACAATACAAATATCCTTGAAGCTTTTATACAAAGTCATGTGATCCAATCATTTGATTACACATCAGCCATTCAATAAACATACTGAGAACCTATGCAATAAATGCATGACACTGTTTTTGATGCTATGGGTCATCCCAAAATACAAAAGATGTAGTTTGGGCCCTTCAGGATTTTTTTTTTTGCTAATATACATAAATAACTACAATATAAACATGGATGTAATAACTTCCATAATATTAGTACAGAAAAAAACAATGTACAGGGCTGGGAGAGACCCCTTCTGGCTAAAGTGATAAGGAAAGGCTTCCTGAAGAAGATGGCACTGGGCCAGTGTTTAAAGATGGGCAGGATTTCTAAAGGAAGAGTGTGACATTCTAAGTGCAGAGAAAAGCATGAGTGAGGCTTCAAAATGGAAGGACACCTTTCACCATCATCTGGATCTTTATTTGCCTCCTATGTAGGCACCTGGTTTTGCACCATGTCGCTTCATTTACCAGCGTTCTTCCTTAGAAGTGCACTAACCCCAATTAGAATGTGAGATCTTTGAGTGCCAGGATCATATCCCATAGATCTTAAGGCCGTGCTGGGACCACAGTGAGGGTTTAGTAAATAAATTGCTGACATATTTTAAAAGAAGGCTCCACATATGCTTTTAGGATGAAAGGGTAGGGAATGGAAAAATATGTGCACAGAGAAGTGCTTTAAATTAATAAGACTATTGGTACATGGAAATCAGCACATTTTCTCATGAACTTTTGCCATTTTCCCATAAGCCCTTTGTTTTGTGTTTTGCAAAGCAACAGAATCATTGCTTAAATTGAGAAAGAAAACACAAAATGAACACACACACACATCAAGAAGGAGACAGTGATAGGATCTCAAAAGTTGATGTGTGACTTGTTTTCTGGACACCAATAATGACCAAAAAAAGCTGGGAAATAAAGCTTTACTTGAGGTTTTAAAGATTCTTTCTTTTTCATAAAGAACCATTTAACCTGAATTCACACATATGCAAAGCAACAAGCCCAATGCCAATTTTATACATATTTGAAGTCTATGGCCACATTTTTCTCTTGGTTTTGGTTCTTCTTTTCATAACTATATTTCATTATCATTAGAGATGTCTTTGATCTATTCCCTGTTCTTCATGTAGGGTAGTTAAGAATGGATCCCAATATTAAATCCAGAATACATGGTTTGAATTAAAAGCTGTATGAAGATTCATCTCCAATATAAAGTCATTTGTAAGAAAAATATTTCATGATACCCTATGTGTAAATTATTAACAAATGCATTCCCAGTGAATTTTTTTTTTCTCTCTTTGGTTCTGTGGAACAGCAGGAAAAAATATATTGCCAATAGAAATATTTTTATAACTTTATTTTTATTGCCTTTGAGGAAATTTCAGAGTACAAGTTTTGAGAAGACCTCTAGCAGTAAAGAACTATGTATACAATATATACTAACAATTACTTTTTGGTTTGACATTGGGCAAAAAAAGATAAAACCCATATATTACAGAGTTGATATTGATATATTTGTAAAAAAAAGAAATACCAAGCAATCATTCAATATTACTCTAGGGAAGTTTTCTGGTCTGAGGGTTTAAAAATATTTTTATTTATATAAAAGTACCAAGTAAGATCAATTTTGTTTCCTTTTCATTAACTAGCAGTAGGCAATTTGTCTGCACTGCATTTGAGAGATACTTGCCTTCTTGCTTTTGGCAACATATGACATTGTCCTGAAGAAGATACCAGAGGATAGGAAGCAAGACATCCTTTTATATTCCCATCATACATGGGTTCCTAAAAGAGTTATTCTTGAAAAGGGCTCCAAATTGATTTCTGACTTTTTGAAAAGATTTTTTTTAAATCTTCAGTGTCCAAGCAGAGTATAGGACTGAAAGATTATCCAGTAGCTTCTTTGGATAATTCAAGGAGAAAACATTTTGTTTACCCATTTCTTCATCCATTCATTCAACAAATATTTTCTGAGGCTCTCTGGTGCCAGGCATATCCTCAGCCCTGGAGCTATAGCGGTGAACAAGATAGGCACAGCCCTGTCCACTGGATGTTTACTGATCCTCGTAGGATTCCCGCTCTTCCCAGTTGTAAGAAAATCATATTCTTTTCAAAGATGGAGGGAATGCAGCCAAGAAAGCCAGCTAAAAATAATAATAATAATAAAAACAATTCTGTAAGAAGCCCTGTGCTTTGCATTATAAAATCACTTCCATCATTACATTAGTCAAAGAACACTTGCCTGAAAGCTTATTGCTTCTAAATTGGGAGGTTTATGAGAACAATAAACCTGATTGTTAAATGATTATACTATGTACATTTGCCATCAGTATAAGTTTTCAAGGACAGCTTTATAGAATATGTTCTTATATGCAGAATCCTTCCTATTTGGGCAGCTGCTTGCAGGGCAAAGCGGGGAAAGCTGAATAGAGCATCTAATTTGCTTTCCTCTTATTGATAACATACATATAAGTTGAGTAAGACTGCCATACAGAGCAAAATTTAGGGAACGTATGTGACTCGTGTCTCTTCTACCACTAAACTTTAGCTTCTATAGACTTGACTTTATCTCTATTCATTTCAACCTTGATCTTTCCTACTTTAAAGAGAAAAGGCTGGCCTTACCTTTCCCTTATGAAGTCGAAAGATCCTGTTTTGTACCCAGTCTCTGGTGACTGGGATTAAAGGGCTGCCACTCCCATTCTTTGAGGCTGGCTCTGGCTGCCCAAACAAAAAGAAACTTCATAGTGACAGCTAATCCTGGAAAGGCCTAATCATGGTTTCCTACACCCTGATAACTAGCCTGTGTCTTTCCACTTTCATCATCAGAAATACACAAATGAAATTTCTGTATGCCTTGAAGGCTTCATTTAGAAAATGAGATTAATGCTGATACCTATTTCAACGTACACAGCTCTCCTGAACATAATAAGAACTGATGACCTAAAGAACTCTGCTTAGAATAAAGGATTGGCTAACGTGAGGCTTACACTTCTTTAATACTTTTCTTTCAGGGACATTTGACGTACAGTGGCGGGAATATGCTAAACACATGTGATAATACTTGAAATAGCGCTATCAACATTGGGTTTTTCTGTTACGGCACTAACACTAGTAAAATAGCAAATGTAATTGTCATAAAGTTTTACACAGATTTAGGAGTGAAAGAAAAGAACAGTTAACACACCTGTCATATCAGTGATATATAACTTCTGATATCATGCTGTGTAACATTTATCCTAAAGTCAGATGTTGAGCGGTACTAATTCAAAATAAAAACAGGACGACTGATTTAAGTTCAAGCTGGACAAATCTAGTTTTGATTAATTGTGTCTCAAGAAAAATTTTTATATAAAGGAAAGATTTATAGACCCTAACAGTTGACTCTTTTGTTTTAACTAATAATAGCAATAATAATAATAATAATCATATAGTAGTTATAGCAACTAACATTTATAAGCAGAAAATGTGGAACTCACTTTCTATGCATGATAACAATTAATAATCACAGCAGACATTTTAAAGTAGTATCATCTTCATTTTAAATATAAGAAACCTGAAGTCCAGATAAAGTAATTTGCCCAAAGTTATAGAACTAGTAAGTAACAGATTCAAGGCTCAAACTCAGGCAGTCTATGTTCACTACGAAATAGAACTAATATTCAGGAAAAAAAAAAACCCTCTGGAACTACTTTGGTATTTATTATAATTGGAAGAGGCAGGGTAAAAACTAAATTTTAAAAAGCTTATGGTCCCTGGAAGTGAGGAAGGAATGAAATGCAGCATTTTTCTAACAACATTTTATTGAACATGCATTCTTCATAGGAGAGATTCGAAACAAAGTTAATGATTAAATGGCTTTATGAAATACTGGATTAAGCCAAGTAAAAGAGTGTTTCTTGCTGGAATGTGTCTTGGGGTCTTAACATGCTGAAAATGCACTAGGAATCTCTGAGATGGCGATGTGAAAAGAAAACGTGATTTAACCAAGAACACTTTTCTTTTTATGGGGCATTTCTGGAGAGGTGAACTAAAGTTTTTCAATGCAACGTTGAGAAAAACTGATCTAATGAACAAACTAGAGAAGTAGAAGCTGGGTTAGGGGAAGGGCGGCTGAGGCCAAGTGGAGAGCCCATCTGTGGGGCCAGGGAGCAGGCTCACCCATAGTCAGCGTGCAGGTAGACTATGTCCTTTATGACAGGTGTCACTGAAACACATTATAATTAATAATATAATATAATATAATATAATATAATATAATACAGTACAATCATATCACAGCAAGTTCTGCAGGAATCCAGGAGGTCAAGGAATCACTCTTTTAACAGCTCCTTATCCAAGGAAGAAGGAGTGAGGCTGTTTTCCCCACTTGAGTTTGGTGATGGCTGGAGCTCAACTGACAGCCTGGGAGGCAGCAGCCTGCAACACCCCATGCTGAAGAGGACATAACAGCCTCAGCAAAGGACTACAGAGGCCTGGACCCCATCCAGTCAGGCTAATACAGCTTGCCATTTTGGAGAATTCATGGAACCTACATCAAAGGAGAAGAGGCCATGGAGGACCCCCAGTGATAGCTTTGCTGACCAGTTCTAGTGGCTGCGCAATGGGGATGACAAAGGGCCTGTATGTGAGGACATACACAATTCCTCTAAGGACTTCTTGAACTACTTAAGAGACATTTGAATATAGCTGGAGTCTCTTCAGTTCTTTAGGAGGAAGCTAAGCCAGGAAAATAGCAACAAGTACAGCTACCATCTACTGAGCCCTTGACCCAGGTGCTGCACACTATGCGAATGATTTTATGTCATTTAATCTTCAAACAACACTACGATGTAGATACTATTATTTTCATTTTACAGTTTGAGAAACTAAGATACAGATAGTTCAGTTTACTTGCAGAAGGCCAAAGAACTAGTACAGCAAGAACAAACATCAGTCAAAGTAATTTTTTAAATGTAGCGTAGCTCCTATAACCCATACACCTCCTGCTTAAGCCCTCCTGTGGTTTTCTTATCCATCTCAAGACAAGTTCTTTATCCTGATCAAGGTCAAAGTAACCTGGCTCCAGGGGTGGCTCATGCTTGTAATCCCAGGACTTTGGGAGACAGAGGCAGGAAGATAGCTTCAGCCCAGGAGTTCATGATCAGCCTGAGCAACATAGGGAGACTCTTTCACTACAAAAAATTTAAGAAATTAGCTGAGCATAGTGTGTCTCATGCCTATAGTCCCAAGTACTTGGAAGACTGAGGCAGGAAAATTGCTTGAGCCTAGGAGTTTGAGGTTGCAGTGAACTATGATCACATCACTGCTCACTAGCCTGGGTGACAGAGTTAGACCCTGTCTCTTAAAAAAAAGAAAAAAAGTAACCTGGATCCAGCCTATCTTTCTACCCTGGATATCATTTACTAAGAAACATACTGCACCCAAAATTTAATGGCTTAAAACAGCAATCACTGAATCGTATCTCATGACTTTTTTGTGTATCAGGACTTCAGGCAATGCTCAGCTAGATGGTTCTTCTGTTCCATGAGGCATTTACTGGAGTCACTTGTAGGCACTTAGCTGTCTGACACCTTGGTAGGGACAGAAGGAAGGTTGGACTCAGCTGGGCCCCTCTTCTTTTCACATGTTTTCAGGACCTCTTCTTGTGGCCTCGCCAGTAAGTGGTCAGCCTTTGTGAATATCTGTTCAGGATCACAGAGGACCAAAATAGAACCTGCCAGTCATCTTAAAGGCGAGGCTCAGAACTGGTACTGCCTTATATCTACCCTATTCTAAACATTACAGCAGTCTGAGGCTAGCCCAGATTCAAGAGGATGGGAAATAGACCCACCTCTCTGTGGGAGGTGCCTCAAAGAATGGGTGGTTATCTTTGATTTGTCAAAGAGATGTCTGACATGAGATGTCTGCGTCATCTCGTACATACTACTCTCCCCCTTACTCATCATGTGCGTTTTGTTTTTGTTCCTCAAACAGGCCAAGAGTATTCTTTCAGGCCTTTGTGTGTGCCTGTGCCAGGAGTGCTCCTATCCCGGCTGGCTGTTTTGTGTCATTCAGTTCAGCTTAAATGCCACTTCTTAATAAAAGCCCCTACCACCTCTCCATCTTATAGAAGCCTTCTTTGGTCACCCAACCTAACTCCCTAATATATTTCCATAACTGTCAGATAATCTCTTTGGTTTTTGTTTTTCCTATTTCCTCTCATTAGAATGTAAAAACAGGAGACACAGGGACCTTGTCTATCCTGCTTACTCCCTCATTCTCAGCACTTAGAACCACGCCTGGCACGAAATCCATCCTCAGTAAACATTTGTCAAGTGAAAATATGAAGTGGCGAATTGGGATTCAAAACTAGATCTGACTGACTCCAGAGCTAAAAATCAAATTGTCCTTGTAACTCTTTGTATTCCAGATGACTATGGTCGATGTAGGCCCCAGGGCAAAGATACTGTACAAAGCAGAGAGCTCAAGGACACAATTAAGAAAAGAATTAGCCGGTAAGGAAGCTCCTGCCAGGATACCCTACACTGAAAATTCAAAGACAATGTTCCCTTCCAGCAAAGTCCAACATTTCTTTGTCTGACCTCATTTCAGCCATTGTTGTTTTGACTCTTGGAGATGAAAGATCTCCAAGGTGTGGTGTTGCCTCAAGGCCATTGGGCTGGTCTCTGGCTAGGCCCCTGGACACTCAGTTTTGCCGGGGCCACACCAGTGAGTGCTGCCCTGTCCAATCTGGAAGTGGGCCATGGCCATGTTTGTGCTGGGGCTTTAGGGAAACATGGTTTATAAATGCTTGTTTCCTATGAGTCATTGCACAGACTTGTCCCTTCAGTACAAACATTCCATTTGGTTTTTTAACTGGGGAAGGAGGGGGTGGAAGCCAAGGCTAACTGGATCAGGTTTGAAAGGAAAGGGGAAGTAAGAAAATTTAAATAGATTTTTCTATATTAGTGAGACCCACAAAGGAACCCTTATCTGGGTTTCAGATTCATGCACAAAGTTTCATCTTTATTTATTTGCCTTAATAAAAAAAGAAAAAGTTCACACAGTAATTTTTTCCCCCTCAAGTTTCCATAAAAATGCTGGAAATGTGGCAATAGCTTTACAAAAACAGTTTAAGAACAATTAAGGCGCATATAACCACTTTTAAAGTTTATATTAAATGTTCTTTATTAAATAAAAAGGAATGCTGCTTCTAATTTCCAGGCATTGTTGATTATATTAGCTTCTAAATGACCACCGACTAACTTTTATCATTATTGTAAGTTTTCTGTGAATTATTATGTCTTCCAGATCAAAAGAATTAACTTCAGTTTTTGCCTTTTAAATACCTCATTCTACCTTATGATTTAGTGCCAGGCTTCTCATCTGTAGAATCTGGCTTATAAAAACAATAGCTGCTCATAAGTAACTCATAAAATTATTATGAAACTCAGATATAACTTAATCATAGATATAAAATATGATTTCTAATTCATTCATTAACCACTTGAGTTTGTGTAAATTATCATTAGGAGCATTAAGCACAAGCATTTTGGGAGTATCAGTTAGGTGCCGGGCCCAATGTCTAGCACTGGAAATATAAGAGGTGTTAGCCAATGGCCAATGCTGGTCTCAAGGGAATTACAATTCAGTACAAAACTAGATGTGAGCTCTCTGAGCCATGGGTTCATCATCAATTAGAAGATAATGCTTAATTCTGTACCTGGCATACGGTCCAAGTGCCACCGATGAATTTCATAGCAGATTCTGTCAGTATCCTGCCCAGTGTGTTGAACACAACCTCCAATTGCCTAAGAGTTTTTCCAGAAGGCTGCACTATATAGCCTGCTTCTAACTTCCAGGCATTGTTGATTATATTAGCTTCTAAATGACCACCGACTAACTTTTATCATTATTGTAAGTTTTCTGTGAATTATTATGTCTTCCAGATCAAAAGAATTAACTTCAGTTTTTGCCTTTTAAATACCTCATTCTACCTTACACACATAGACACACACACACACACACACACACACACACACACACACACACTACAGTCTGGAAGCACCACGATTAATACCCCCACCTCTAGCAATCTTCAAGCAATGAAAAATGGGAATGCACAAATACCCCCAGCTCCCTCAACCCTCAAGTGGGATAGTTACAAGGTGTATGTTTCACACTAGCTCCTAGAGTTTTCCCATGGGAATAAGTTTCAATCACCTGCTTTGGTAGATGGATGATTCATAACGCATTTCTTCTTGGTTGCCTCCCCTTTCCTGCACCACTTCCCTTCTCTCCTGCTTGTGTTTCATGGGAGCCCCTCTCAGATAAAGTACTTGCACTTGAATCCTTGTCTTAGGAACTATTTCCAGGGGAAATCTTCACAAACAGCCCTGAAGAGAGAGAAAACTGAGACCAGTAGAGGTAAAACATCTTGCCAAAAGTTAAAGGGTCAGTACGTGAGAACACTGGATCTTGAAACCAACAGATTCTGGGCTTTTCCCGTTACCTCCAGACTGCTGGGTGAGACAATGCATACAGCTGAGAGCAGACTGCTCTGTGCATTGCTGGAATAGTGGCTCTAAATGCACGTTCTCCTGTTAGGAGAGCACGATCTCTGAATACAAATGTGAACTTTTCCAGCTGTCCTTTTTCAACCAAGATGATCATCATCACCTAACAACTCTGGAAATGGCAGGCATGGCAAGAGTGTTCTGAGGAAAGGTGCTAAGTGAACAAGGTATAGTAGTCTGATTTTTATCGTTCCATAAACACCCTACAAAGCCAAGGAGATCTAAAGTATCTTGATAGGTCCACTCTAAGGACCTTAAGTCAGAGGCATTGAAGGGTTTGGAAATGTGGATGAAGTTAGCACCAGCAGAAAATCAGGAAACACAGCATAAGTCTTTCATCTTGTGAGGGAAGTTTTAGTTTCCCCTCCATAGTATGAAGCTTGTAATATCAACCTCAGTTACCAATATTTCTTGTTATAGGAAAAGAGTCACAACAGAGAAATGTTTATTCTTTAGCTAGCATTACTGAGTACCTGTTCTATTGCTGTCATAACTCTGATGAGAGCTGTAAGCCATGCAAAGAACTCAGTCGCATCACATACATAGGTCAGTGATAAAAGTGGGAAACTGAAATTGGGACTGGAGCAACAGGTTCCTGAGCTTCAGAGTTTGATGTCCACATCCCAGTATCCAAAACTATAAGGTGCTTCAAAACCAAACCAGTGGGTAGAGGCAGTGACAGGAGAGGCTAGGTAGAGGTGATATTCCATTCTACCGAATGGGAGAAAATTAGCTCTGGTCAATACAGAACTCCATTCAGAAGCTGAGTGAGTGGGGAGAGAGTCCAGCCTGGAATAGGAGGCTGGCTATGGACTCCACAGATAGTCGCAACTAGATTTCAGGAAAAAGCTTCAGTCTCAATGCAAAAGTAGACTATTGAGTATGCATTTAATTCTTCTGATGTGACCTGTATAGGAAGTCTTCAGGAAAGGCTCTGGCTAAGTGGACAAGTACCCAGAGCTCCTTCCAGTCACATAAATCAATGGGTCAGTGGAGCACAATTAATTCTAGACTATATACTTGCTTGAAATGGGATGTGGGAGAATAGGGTAGGAAGCCTCCTAACATGAGCTTTACCTTAGACTGGATTGTTTTGGAAACCTCCACAGAGATGGGCTTCTTTTGTTGATTACAGCAAATAAGAGAGGGGAGCAGAGGGGCTTTTTGAGAACAACAAAGGAACATATGCTGTGGTCCCTGCCATCAAGACGTAGGCAATCCAGTTAGGGAGCCAAACCATGCACCCACTGAAGAGTCAAGAACAGTATCAAAGAACTTTATAACTGAAGTCCAAAGTATAAAGCTCACCAGCAGGTGATGGAATAATCAATCTGGGCTAGAGTAACTGAAGTTGGCTTCATGGAAAAGCTTTGGGCCAGCTTTGGAAGCAGCAGTTACAAAGTAAATGACAGCTATACTAAATAGCCTTATTTGAAAGGCTTATTGACGTGCAGATCTATTGAAAAGTGATTGATTTGGTTCACTAATTTTTTCTATAAATACGAAGGACCACAGTCACTCCAGCCCATGGCCCCCTTGGAATGTTGGAATGGGCATGTACAGCATGCAAAGTGTCGTCTAATATTTATCCCGTCTCTCCACCATCCCATCTCTCCACCATTCCTGCTGCTGACATCTAAGGAGAACTGCAACAGGATGTGGGCCCCGGAGCCTTCGAGACTTGGCCTTGGACTGCTATTCTGGGGTGTTTTGTTAATTGCCCAGGGAAAACTCACAGTATGCATTCTGGAATAGTCATTTGAGAAGAGAAGTGGCAAGAATGCTATTTCCTGCACCCATGAGAAGACTTGGTACTTCGAATTTGCCAACTGTGTTTCTCTAGGTTACTGGGGACCTAGATCCCATCCACCTGAGCTCTCCTTACCTTCCTCACATGAACACAATGTAGAACACCCTTTAGTTGTCCTTTCCAAGTTATTCCAAGACTTCAGACACAGCATAGGGAAGCAGAAACCCTAACTAATGGGCAGTGGAAATGATAGAGGCTCTGATTAGGAATTGGGTTCCCTTAGGCAAATTACATAATGTCTTTGTACAATCAGAAGATATTTACATCTCAAGTTAGACAGGAGAGTTAATTGAGATAATTCAGTAAGACATTAGCAAGCACTTCCTGTGTTTCAGGCTTGAAATCAGATCCTGGTACTGTTACAGCAAGTGTTAGATAGCGGGTGGTCCCAAGGACAAACCTAGCGGCACACAGAGAGTTGGAGAATCAAAGTTTATTCTTGCAAGCGAGCTCAGAGGGGCCTCGCCACCAAATTCTGAGCACCACCTACCCTATTTTCCCCACTTTTATTAAGTTGGGGTGGTCCGAGGGGTGGGGTACCAGGTGTAGGTTAGTTGATGTGTCACGCAATAGGTTAATATTATGTCTATGTGCCAGGTAATAGATTTAGTGTTATGTTGATGCCAGGCAATAGACTAATTGATGGACCAGGAAACGGGGTGGGGGGTCGGGGGAGTTGTTCTCCGGTGCCTGATGCACCAAGTAACAGGTGGGGATTTCCTTATCAGTACAAGGGGTACAAAGATGAATTCATTTTGAAAATGTTTAGTATCTATTATTAGCTCAATGAATAAAATGAAGCCCTAGCTTATATTCTATTGAAGGAGATATGCAAAAAACACACCTAACCCAAGAAAGCATGTAATATGAGGCATTAATAAGTGCCATAAAGAAAAATAGAACAGAGAAAGGAGGTGGGGAGGAGGGTAGGCCTACTCTAAGTAGAGTCCCTGGAGAAGACCTCTCTGACCTGGTGACATGAAAGCAGAAGCTGGAATGAAGTAGAGGGGCAGGCAAGTGGCCACCTGGTGACAGCACACCCCAGCAGAGAGGACGGGGAGGCCTGAAGCCTTGTGGTGAGCACGTGCTTAGCATGTTCACAGCATGTCCAGGCCGTTCCTGTGGCTGAAGCAGAGGAAGCCAGGGTGAGTGTGGCAGGAGATGAGGTCAGAGAGGTGGGCAGGGGCCAGATCGCATGGGGCCTTGGAGGTATTGGAAAGAGCTTTACAGTTTGTCCTGAATATTGTGGGAAGCCACTAAAGGATCTTGACCAGGGAGTGATAAGATATGATTTATATTTTCAAAGGAGCACTCTGACAGTTGCATGTGGAATGGGCTGCCGAGGGAGCAGATGAGAACAGAAGCAGGAAGAGCGAGGACAGGGTGGGAGCGAGAATGATGACTAGGGCTGGAGTGGTGATGGAGGCATTGGGAAGTGGTGGGATCAGGAGTATATTTTGAAGGTACAATTAATAGAATTTTCTGATGAAGTAGGTGGGAGAGAAGGAGAGAAGTCAGAAAGGACTCCAAAGTTTTTGGTCTGAGCATTGGGAACGATGAAGGTTAGGGGAAAGGAAGTCAAAAGTACAGTTTTGTACAGACAGGGTTTAAGCTGCCAAGTGGAGATGTCAGCAGGCACCTAGATATGTAAGTGTGGAGTTCTGGAGAGAGGTCAGGGCTGGGGATATAAATCTGGGAACCATGAGGGTATGATTGGCCTTTAAAGCCATGAATGAATGAGAGCATAGCTGGGGAAGAGAAGAAGTTAAAAGAAATCAAGCCTTTTTGGAACTCCACTCTTTAGTATTTGGAAGAAGAGAAGGAGAAGACAAAGTGGGTAAGTCTTAACCTCAAAAAACTCACCAGTAAGTATATAAAGTAACTAGCACCATATCTGGGACATATCAAATGAGCAATAAACATTACTTCTCCTTTCTTGGTAGAGTCACTTAACTTTAAGAAGAGGCATGTAATCATGTGAATTAAAATGACAACAGCATCTATTTCTCACCAGGCATACCTATGGTTTGGGGAAAGAAAGCTCCCATGAAGCAAAGAGTGAAAATAGAGAATAAAGCATTAGTTGTGGAGTCACGAGGACTAGATTTGGCAAGTTCTTAACATCTCTAAACTTCACTTTCCTTCTGTATAACCTGAGGGTAATAATAATGGTACCTATTTGGAAGAGCCTTTTTTTTATTTCAGCATATTATGGGGGTACAAATTTTAAGGTTTCAAATAATGCCCTAATCCCCCCTCCCCCCACAAGTCTGAGTTTCCAGCATGACCATCCCCCAGATGGTGCACATCTCACTCATTATGTATACACCTACTCCCTACCCCCTCCCACCTGCCCAATACCCTATTACTGTAGTTCCTATGTGTCCACTTAGGTACTTTTATAAAGCTCAATTGAGATAGCACATATGAAAATATACACTATTTTGGATATAGTACTCTGTACACTATTGTGAAATCCAAAATACCATATATGCGTTAGTTGGTAATTGCTCTAGCTATTATGTTTTTAATGAATGATGTGGGGATTTTGAAACATGTCCAAAATTCTTTAACACTCTTCTTTCAAAAGGGAGAATCTAATCCTCCTCCCCTCAAATGTGAGCCAGACTTATTGAATCATTTCTAATATATCAAATATGAGGGAAGTGGTGCTATTGTGAGTTCTGAGGCTAGGTCATAAAAAGGAAGGCTTTTGCCTATTTCTATCTCCTGGATTTCCTGATGTGGGGGACACCTGCCACCATGTTGTGAGGCTACTCAAGCAGCCTTATGGAGAAACCCATGTGGAGAGCAGAGAGGCCTCATACCAAAAACCAGTATCAATTTGAACCTTGGAAGTGGATACTCCAGCCCCACCCAGCCTTCAGATGAGTGCAAATCCCATCAGCATCTTTACTGAAACCTTAGAAATCATGAGCCAGAATCAACCAGCCAAGCCACATCTGAGTTTATGACCCACAGAAATTTTGAGAAATAATAAATGTCCATT